GGATCAGAGGGGTCAGATCCGAGAGGGACTGAGGCACCTGAGACCCATGGCCTAGACTCTCTGGTCTGAGGGCTGTTGAGGCTGTGGTGGGGTCAGAGATGGCAGGTGTTCTTTCCTCCTCCCAGGACCGAACCTGCCGCTGGTAAAGAGACAGGAGCTGCCAAAGTCAGTAAGAATTTGGAACTCGCCCGTCTAACTCCCGCCAGCAGCAGTGCCCGAGTGCTGGGCCCGGTGGGCCTGCAGGGGGGCCCGGGTGGGCCGGGAGACCCAGCCCCGGGGATTAAGGAGGACTGGAAGGGTTCTGTCCCCATGAAATCCATGTCCCCTTCTCCTCACTGCTCACTGGGGCTCCGTCTGTCCCTGGACCTCCAGACCTTCATGGCAGGTGTCCACAGCTTGCCCCTCCCCACATGCCCCCAAAAGTCCCAGGCTCTTGAATGAGGTGGGTTGTGGGAACTCCGGGACACCCACCCCCTCTCCCACCTCTTTTCCCCCTTCCCCAGCCCAAGCTGACGCCACAGGAGAAGCTGAAGTTGAGGATGCAGAAGGCACTGAACAGACAGTGTATGTACCCCTCCTTGCTCCCCCTCCTTCCAGCCTGGCCTTGTAGGAGAGGCACTCTGGGGAGGAGTGGGTGTGCACGCTGCTTTGCTGCCATCGTGCTAAGGGCGTTGGTAGGCTGGTTGGCCCTCTGAGCTTGGAGGCCTACCAAGCCACTGCGTCCCTTCCTCCCCACAGTCAAGGCGGATAAGAAGGCCGCCCAGGAGAAGATGATACAACAGGAGCATGAACGGCAGGTAAGGGTGGAGTGAGAGGCGGGGCTCGGGCGGGTGCCAGCTGGGCCAGCCCTCACTGCCATCTCTGCCTCAGGAGCGGGAAGATGAGCTTCGCGCGATGGCCCGCAAGATCCGTATGAAGTAAGACCCTTCTGCTCCCTGTATCAGCCGCAGCCACCTCCTTCTGGGAAGCTCCCCATTTCCTTCGTTCCCTGCCACCCAGCTCTGAGCTGAAGCCCTGCCAGAACCCTCACTTGGCCCTTTTTCCTCCCTGCATCCCCAGCTTATTCCAGCCACAATGACCCTGCTCCACCAGCTCCCAGCTCCCATTTCCTTTGCTGTTTCCCAGATCCTCACCTGGTCCCCTCCCTCAGTCCACTGGGCAATCTCCTCCCTGACCATCCTGTCCAGAGTAGCACCCCAAAACGCTCCAAGCTCCAACCCTGCTCTGTGTGCTTCATAACACTAACCCTCACCTGGCGTGCAGTCTGTTTGGTATGCTTGCTTATTAGCGGTGTCTGCACTGAGATGCCGGGTCTGGTTGCTGTGTGTTCAGCCCCCCAGAACACTGAGGTGGTGCTGTTTGTGGGAGGGCTGAACTCCAGCCAGCCCCATGGCTGGTCTGGCCCAGTGCTGGGAGATAGCTTCTCTCCTGTCCCCTCTGCTTCTCTTCTCGTTTTGTGTCTTCCACTGCAGAGTTGAGGGCTAGCTCTGTCTCTCTGTGTGGCCCTCACAGGCTAACTCCAGGATTAGTGCCCATAAGGCCTCAGGCCCTGCCCCCCCCCCCCCCCCCCCCCCCCCCCCAC